AAAAAAAAAAAAGTGCAACACCTTAGTAATAATGCCAACACAGTAGTCTTTGTAGTATCAGTTAGTCTAAAACGTCTAAAAGCATTATCGTTATCACACCATTTCTTGCTCCCCTCAGCCCTAGGTTGCTGTTTAAATAGAACCATTTTCTGATTTCACCCTGGTCTCTTAATATGTCAATCAACAAACAATGTTCTCACAAGTATGCTGGCTGTCTTTGGTGCTGGCAGGGAGTCACATTGTGCTGCTCCTGTCACTCATTATCTAAGCACCTCAATTCTATGTTTCTTTTAACCTCCCTCTGGGGAGACATTGTTGTGATTTAGAGATGTTGAGAAAAAGAATCCAGAGTACCTGGCTTCAAATCCCAGCTGTATCACTTATTGGTTGTGCGACCTTGGGCAAGTTACTTAAACTCTTTGTGCTTCATTAAAAACAAAAACAAAACCAAAAAACTGGGCTGGGCATATAGCACAGTTGGTAGAGTACTTGCTTTGCATGCACAAAGCTCTGGGTTCAATCCCCAGCACCACAAAAAACAAAAACAATAACAACAACAAAAAGCAACTATAACATGGGTTTAATTATGTTTCCTAAGTTTGTAAGATTACCTTGAGGATCCAATTGAGTTAGTAAACATCAACTTACAATGATGCTATGCCCTGATTAAGAACCTTTAATAAGTGTTAGATTTTATTATATATTATATTAGCCTCAGTTGGACCCACTGGCCAAAATTTTGCAGCACATTTTAAGGTCAAGTGGTGTGCCATGGCATTTGGTCCACTGAGACCACTGGGCTAGAAACTTCCTCCTTCCCAGCTTGGCCCACAGATAGAACAAACAACTATGTGTAAAAAGTGAAATAGTTTTATTTGCATTCATCACAGAGATTGAAGAGAGTCTCATGATGTTTATTCATACAAAATATCATAACAGTGGTTTGTGACATAAGGAAGAATTACTCTATTCTAGCTGTTTTTATAATGCAGTCTTTTTTCCTGATTACAGATAAGAAATCTATGGTGTCAAGATATGGAAATTTTCAAATTCCATTCCAGCAATTTCCAAAACTTGAATCAAGGAATGGAGGACACATAAATGGAACCAGCCACCTTGAAAAAATACTCTTAAAAATAGGACTAAAACTTTAGAAAATATAACTTTTAATACTTTGAAAGGTAACAAGGTAAAATTGTTGCTCGTTGGCCTGACTTTCCAGGATTTAGTGTGGTCAAGTAGTGTAGGTTGCTGCTAGGCTGGAGCTTCTGCCACCAACCAAATCAGATGCAGATTTGGTCCGTAAGTGGAGACAGGATTCCCTCGTTGCTGGAGGACTTGTGAGAAGTTGTCTTCACTTTTTATTAAACATTTGGCTTTACGATTTTCATTGATAAATAGTTCTAGAAAGGAAATAGAAACAGCACATAAAAGAGTACGTTTGTGTGTGTACATATTTATATGAAATGTTATATAGCTTTTATATATCTAAAATGTTAAATAAATTTTAAAAACACATTTAAGTTAAGATCTCTCAGTCCTGGCACTACTCACATTCAGGACCAGATGGCTCTTTTCAGTGGCACTTATTGTGCCCTGCAAGATGTTGAGCAGCATCCCTGGTCTCTCCATACTAAATGCCAGAAAATCCCCCCAATTATGACAACCAAAGTGGTTCCAGAGCTTGCCAAATGTCCTCTGAGGGAACAACACCCTACCCCCGGTTGAGAACCACTGGTCTATGTCCATAGAATATAAGTCGGGAAAAAGATGGACTGGACTTTCTACAACTGGCAAATGGAAGTATTATATGGGGGCAATGAAAACATAAAGCTGCTACTGGACTGGAGCATAGCTCAAGGTAGAGGGGGTGCCTGGCATGTTCGGGCCCTGGGTTTGATCCCCAACACTGAAACAAACAGTCCTAGTGTGCCTGTAGGACTACGTAACTAAGCGCAAAATCATGTGTATTGTGATTAATATGAATTGGAGCAAGAGTTTTTGAATGTCTTCTCAGCTATCAGTGCCTCATACCTTGCTGCTGCCCATGATCTCCTCTGCCTGGACCGACCATTCCTTCACCATTCACCAAACTGAGTTTAAAATGCCACTCTCCTTCCCCTTGATGAAAACATCCTCAGCAATGGGCTCTTTGTGGTCATTTGCTCAATAACAGCTTGCTTCCCACAGGAATGTACTTGATCGTATGCCTGGTTGATCCCAGGGTATGGAGTGCTCATGGGCAGAAATCATGCCTTGGTTACCTCTACATCCTAACTCTTAGGCTACAGTAGATGCTCAATAATTCCCTGAGTGGAGGAATGAAGGTGCAACTTCTAGGCACATGGCTAGCTCTTGTACCAGTTATCACCAGGGTGATTATGTGAAATTTAAGGAGAGCTTATATGTGACGTGGGCTTTAGAGAATGAGATTTGGATCGACAAACTGGGAAAAGGGATTCAGATAGGTAAGTGCAATAAATATTTGGTGTCAACTCTGTAGCTGTATAGAGTATGGGGTTTGTAGAGACCTTAATAAGTCAGGATTGGGGATCTTCAAATACCAGGGCAAGGAGTTAGGGTGCAGGATGGTTTAGAACAATAAAGCTTGAAGGCAGGAAGGTTAGCTGGAAACACTGCCCAGGTGCCAAATAAACGCGATATGAAGTCCTAAGTGCTTTCTCCTCCAATTCCCAGTCAATGTTTGTTTTTTTTTTTCCCCCCAGACCATAAAGTTCTGCCTGTGATTTGTGAAGCCCTGAGAATGCAATTCTAGTCACTGGACACTTCAAATAGATTTTCCAGAAGCAGAAGCGTCCCGACACTAGAACTGCTCAGAGCCCATTGTTCTAAGCAGTGGTCCAGGCAAACACAGTTAGATGCCCAGGTCCAGTCCACCCTCACACAGAGCCGAGACAAGAGGTCCGGGCCTCCTACCGGCAAGGAGTAGAGGAGCACAGCCAGGAAGAGCAGCAGGATGAGTAGGATGAACAGGCCGATGATGACCCACTTAAACCGGCGCCACACGATGAACCGCATGGTCTTGCAAGGGTTTGTGAACCAGAGGAAGGAGGTCTCGGGTCGGCTGAAATGCAGAAATAGAGTATCACCTACCCAATTCGGGAGGGACTGATTTGCCTCAGAGCATAACACAGTTTCAGGAATAATCATAACATTTATAAAGCCAGGAAAAAGATGCTATTCTCTGTAGTTGGCTGAGAAAGGCTCAGGGACCCTGTACAGCCTCCTAACATGCTGAGGACACGGAGCTTTGGTTTGTGGGGAAGGAGAACAGTTAAAATGCAGCCAGATCGCCCACCTCTCTGCACCCCCCACTCCAAGGCCCACTTTCAAGTACAGAATTAGGACAGCAGCTAATCTATTCCATTCAGAATTAGAAGGGGGGCTTTCAAACCACAGGTGTTTGGGGATCAGACAACCAGGAGAACAAAGAGGGCCTCTCACTTGGGTGGGTCCAGCTTGGGGTTCATGTTGGGTTCATCCCGCCCCTTCCCAGCTGGCCTCTCGTCTGCCTCCTTCTCGTTGAGGACCTCCAATGTCATCTCGACTTTCCCCTTCAGTAAAGCAGAACAGGGTAAACACATGACATCACGTTTCACAAATATTTTCATTTCAACCCAAGGAGTATTCCCCAAGCAAAGATTTTTATTCTTGTAAAACAATCCTTGGATTGCCTTCAATTTTCCTCAAGAGAGTTCTTCACATTTCCTCTGCCATGTGTGTTTCTGAACTGACTCCATGTGGGAAACTGAGAGGACACACCGCTCTCTCTCTTCTGTGCTTCTTCTTCTGTGTGTTCCTGACATGACAGCATTCCACATCAATCTCGCCGTCTCACACACCTTCCTTTGTAACTTTACATGGACCCAGACTAACGTGGCACTGCTAAAGACAATAGTTAACACATATGGAGCATTAACTATGGGCTCCAAGGAACCAGGGCCATGTCTCCCCACACTTGGTATCGTAGACCTACTGTGTGCAGTAGTGCTGGAACTTAGTAGGTACTTAATGTGCATTAGCCAAATCAGTCAATGGATGGGTGGACGAATGAATGCTGCCTCCCTGATGACAAGGTTCCTGAGGGATGCCCGGGCTCCATCTATGCTTTCTATATGGATAATCTTATGTGATGCTCACGAGAGTCTCAAAAGGTACTATGCTGGTCCTCAGGAGGACCTGAGGCTGTCAGAGGTCTAGAAACATGTCCACTTTTATATGGTGTTTTAACTAAGATTGTAACAGACTTTCCAGGACCTCAGAAAGCCCAGAAGGGGCTAAGTTCCTGAGAACTTGAGAAGTGCTGACCCTGATACCCACTCAGGCAGAGGCACTCAGATGGCTACTTTGTGTATGGGCTGGAAGAAGCTGGGGCACCTTGCCTGAGCTGGCCCAGCTTATGTTTGAATCTATAAAACGGAGATGATGTTTACTTCACAAGGTTGTCAGCAGAATTCAAAAAGACTATATGCAAACAAATCTATAGTGACAGAAAGCAACCAACTGCAGAGGACACAGGACTCTTTGTGGGTGATGGAAGGTTCTGGCTCTTGTTGATGGTGGTGGTTTAATGGGTGCCTACATGTGCCCAAACTCACCACATTGTGTCCTCTGAATGAGGGAAGTTTATTTTGTGAGAACTATATACCAAAATTGTTTTTAAAAAGAAGATTATGAATGTAAGACCCTTAGCATGTTACCTGGTTCATAATTAACGATCACAGATGTTAGATACAACAAATGAGCTAGTCTTTTGTGACCGATCATGATAACTTGCCATACTGTCTCTGTGGTGTGTGTGTGTGTGTGTGTGTGTGTGTGTGTGTGTGTGTACAAGTGTGTTACCAAGGAGTGAATCCAGGGGATCCCTACCACTGAGCTACATCCCAGATCTTTTCATTTTCTTAAAATTTTGAAACACAGACTCATGCTGAGTGGTCCAAACTGTCTTTAAACTCATGATTAACTGTTTCAGTCTCCCTAAGTAGCTGAGATTATAGGCGTGTGCCACTGTGCCTGGCTCAAAATATATCTTGAATTCCCCAAACATGTTTATAAGTTACGGCCTTCTTACTCAGTACTCCTTACTTTTTCCAACTTTTTTTTTTTTTTTTTGATGAGAGAAGTTCAAATTTGAAGATTCTTTTTCTGTACTGAGTAGTCATGAAAGCTCAGCATAAATTAACCCTCCCTGGTGAAGGCGTGTCCCAAAGAAATACTGTGCAACCACTTAGACTCCTACTGTTTGGATCATTTCAACCTCTTCACCTCCGCCCTGCAAACACATATTCATAGCGTCTCCCACCTTTTCTTGTAATCCCAGGTACAAACATTTTAACAAACTTAACACTGCCCTATCTAACCTGGAGTATATCTACCGATAAAGAGCAAAACCTAAATGATAAAAGGAATAAACAGTCCCAACCAGGAAATACATACAGCCATCACCCGAGAGCCATCTTTATCTGCGTAGCATGGCCACCATCCTCTCATGGACTTCTGTTCAAAGAGCGAGGCGGTCTTAGCTTTTAGGGGGTTCATGGTTTTGAGGTCTGGAATCATGTCCAAATGGCATTTCTCTGATGATTTTGCTGGAATGATCGTGTGATGCAAATCAAGTTCCAGGAAACCTAGCCAAGGAAACAACGTGAAATCCAAATGAGCTTCAAGAGGATCAGCCATTGTTCACAAGTGAACAGAACGTTCTTGTCAGAGAAGCAGACAGTGATTTTGAACAGGTGATGGGTGAGTTAGAGAAAGAGACAGAGGAAGACTTTTAAATTCTTTCCAGATAGGATGGAAAATGGCAGAAGAAATAACTGTCCCCTGCTCAGCCTCTCACAGAGGATTACATGTTTTCTTTCTCCAAGACATGAGCATAAACAGAGTTCTTCTATAAATTCAAAGCAATTCAACATCAATAGACAAAATCTCCACTGAACTCACAGCCCTTGTATTTGAAATGTATTCATTTTAGTTCTGTGCTGCCCTGAACAGGGAGGTCACTTGGCTGTGGGTAAAGACAACGGGTACTCGGAACATGGGAAGCTCCATGGAACGTTCACGTTCAAGTTTCTCTTGACCTCAGAAATAGGGGCTTGAAGGAACATAACTCAACAGAAAACCCTCACCAGGAACTGAGAATCCTGGCCAGGACTGGGGTGTCTGGAGAAGCACACCTCTTCTATGATGGGGTGGCATTAACTCTTTGGTACCACTGAGGCAATAGGTGAAAAGTGTCTTTTGGGTTTGGGGACTCCTGAGAGCCATTTTCTTAAGAAAATGGAGTCTGTGGTGTAGGGTGAACTCCACAGTAATAGAACAAGAGTCTGAGGAGTTTGGTCAGGAGGAGCGGCAATAGGGAGGTTGTGGTAGATTCACTTTAAACTGTCAGGCTCAGATACTGCCCTTCTGTGTATCATGGAGGCACAGGCCACAGCTGACCTTGCTTAGCTTCTTCTGAGCTTATGCCTGCTCATGTCAGTCTCTGCTTTTGGTGACTGGCTTGCTAGCCATTTTGAAATAGTCATTCCCCTTATTTGTCATCAGACTGCTTCATTTAAACTCTAGGAGGAAATTCTCTGTTATTCTGGAATGTTCCACCCATATGCTCTTATAACATAGCATACTTCTATACTCATTTGTTTGTTCTACTCTTTAAAAAATATATAATAACTATATATATATATATATGGTTTTTTTTTTGCTGATGGACACAATACCCTTATTTTATTTATTTATTTTTATGTAGTGCTGAGGATCGAACCCAGTACCTCATGTGTGTGAGGCAAGTGCCTTATCACTGAGCCCAAACCCCAGCCCTGTTCTACTCTTAATAAACACTAAGTTAAAAGAATTTTATTGGTTTGCCGTGATGGGTCAAGGGAGGAGTAAGATATAGCTATTGGTGGACATTTCTCTGCTAGGAAGAGCCCCTTGGAGCAGGTTGGAAGGAGGGAGGCTAGTCAGGGGATACTGTAACGGTCAGCCAAGAGAAAATGAACTGGCAAGTGGAAGACAGAAATAAGAAAAGAACTGTGCATGATAAGGCGGATTACATTGCAAGCACTGAGTGGTGGCCAGGTCCTGGGGAAAAGAGGAGTCACAGAGGACCCAGTGCTTCCACTGGGTGGCTGGGAAACGGAGGGACCCCGGGGTGAGATAATTTCATGGGGAGAGCAGATCTGAGGTCAGGGAAGAAATGCCCAGTTTGGTTTCAGTTATGGTAAATTTTAGGGGACAGACAAGTACAAGGTGAATGGATGAATTGGGAATAATCGTCGTGATAGTTTCTTAGGACTCTATGAGGCACTAAGGCAGGTCAGGCTACACCTCCTGGGGCAGGAGCCATAATCTGCTGAAAGCTGAAGGATGGAACTCCACCTTCAACTAAGGTGAGAAGGCATAAATCACTGGAGTGGGGAGGGTGGCTGGAGAAGAGCCCGGGACGCTTCAGGGAAGGCTGCGTTTTAAAGGGTGGAAGGAAGAAAGAGCCAAGAAGGGAGGGCACTGAGTGGGGCCTGTGACTGGTGCCTTCAGCCACAGAGGAGATGTCCTGGGGCAGAGCAGTGGTGGGAAGGTCAACACGCAGCAGGGTGAGGTGGTGGGACTGTGGCATCCCACCCTCCCCCCACTCCAGTAAACAGACTCGATCCTTTTAGGGGAGACAGGAGCTGGTGTGAGCCCTTCCATGACAGCCCTTGAGGGTGGGCAGGGCCCATGGAAAGGGTGACACTCCCCATTCAGGCCACACTGCCCAGAGGACAGCCCTCTCCTATTACTGACCAGCAGTAGAGATTTAAGCAATTCAAGCTTTAATTGATTTCACTAATGCCAAGTTTCTTAGAATTATTCGATTCTAAGTGAGTAAGTAAGCCTACATACCCAAGTAGTCGTCCAGGGAAAACTTGTCATTGTCCCATATCTGAATGATCAGCCTGGGTGGGACTCTAAACTCTGTTTGGTCAATGCTCCAGAAATGCTCCTAAAATGACAAGAGACATGGACAAACCTAAATGATAGTGATTAGCGGGATCTGAAGCCCTCCCCTTTGGTCCCCGGGTGCAGCATTAAGGCATGGGGCCTTTATCTCCTTGCCCTCCCCAACACCCCTTCCCACTGGCCCCATTCTTCCACTTCATGTCAGCCTCCCAGAGAGTCTCAAGGCCACCAACTGAGTGACAAAAAGGATGTCCCAGGCAATTCCCAAAAGTAGATTGCCTGCCATGTTTTTATCAGTGTGACTTCCTCCTGCCACCCCAGGGGGTGGGAAGAAATTGATCTCCTTCCTGAAAGCCACTATGGCCTGCTCAGGTTATTCTCCCAAGGCCAGATGTTCTAGGCCAGCCCACAGCAGCACCTACTGCGGTGTTCCCTCTGTGCAGCCATCTCCCACCCATCCTACTAGACTTGATGTAAGAGCGTACTCTCAATTAACATGCAGTGGAGACTCGGGCCCAGATTCTACTCTCTTCTCAGTACAGATTTAAAACATTCTAAGCAGAGTGCAGTGGTGTACACCTGTGATCCCAGCTATTGGGGAGGCTGAGGCAGGAGGATCACAAGTTCAAGGCCAGGCTCAAATTTAGTGGAGCCCTAAGCGATTTAGTGAGACCTTGTCTCAAAATAAAAAAAATAAAAAGGGTTGGAGATGTAGCTCAGTGGTAAAATACTTCTACGTTCGATCCCTAGTAACACACACACACACACGCACACACACACAGAGTCCTAATATTTTGGGGTTTTGAAAAATATCTCTGGCTTTTACATGTTTGTAGTCTCCTAAGACCCTCAGATCTCTCACACTGAAAGTTCGGAGGGAAGACTAGGAAAGGGTCTTTAAGTTCTCAACTGTGATCCCTGCCTCTGCTCAGACAATATTAACCAAGAATAACACCTCCACAGCCCAGTTATGACTAAGTTCCTCTGGCCCTGGTGGACAGGAATACACCCAGTGTTTTGGGAATTTTAACGAAGATCATTGGGTTATATCCTGTTTTTCATATTCCTGGAATGTTCTCCTTTGCAGAACTGGGAGGGCCTGGCTCTGAGGGACTGGGAAACCCTCTCTGTTACTGTCCTTTGATCCTCCTGACTGTCCTGTAGGGTTATGCTTCAAGTACCATTCAGGGCACAGAAGGTCCAACTCTAGATGTGGGCAAAGAGGAAAATTAAGTTGACCTAAGGGCATTGCCTGACTCAGATGCCATCCCCTGCCATTCTGCCTCATCATTTGAAAGTGTATGTGATTCAATATCATATTGAGCCTCTGTCCTCTAGAAAGTCCCTTTGGAAGACATCCATCCCCCCAGGCACAGAAAAAGTGCTCACGATAGCATCAGCACTGAGTAGGACCAGCACTGAGTAGAGCCTGACCCAATGGGGCACAGGCAGAGGGCAGGGTTTGTTTTTGGTGTGTGTGATCCTGGGAATTGAACCCAGGGACTCATGTGTACTAGGCCAGGACTTTACCTGTGAGCTACATCCTCAGGCCAGCAGGTGTGTTTTGATAGGGTGTGGTGCCATGGATATAGGAGAAAGGAATGGGTCAGGGGACATTTGCTATTGTCCGTCCAGCTTTCAGGCCCCACTATTGGATTCAATCTGGACTAAATGGCTAACTTCAAGCTTGGCCAATCAGAGCACAGACTCACAAGGGCACATGATCTCAGACAGGCATAGAAAGCAATGCCCAGTTCCAGAATGCTGGCTGGTGCCTTGGGGACTCTCTTCTCTTTCTGCTGAGGTTTTCTGAGAGGACAGGACAAGAGGGGTTACTGGCTGCCCTCTTGCCTCTACCAGGGAAAAGCCTGCCTAGAAGGAGGCCCACAGAGGAAGGCAGAGCAGAGGGTAGGGAGTGTGGGACCAGTGTCTAAAGACATCTCTTCAACGTGGGATCCAGATGTGGCTAAAGCCAGCCAACACGGGAATTTTTAGGAATGTGAACCAATAAATCACTTTTTAAGTCTAGGCCAGTTTGAGTTGAGTCCTGTAACTGAAATTCTTACTAATTAAGACAACAAGGACCCTGAGCCTTCCCGGAAGTGCTTCTGAAGGAAGTGAGGCAGATATTGAAGCTTAATAAGGAGGATTAAAAGGGGCATTTAATATTTGGTCTCTGATTAATTCTGCCTATCATGGGAAAGATCATTTTCCCCATGACATAAAAAGCACTCATGGGTCATTGTATGTTCTGATGAAGGACTCTTTTTTCTATCCTTTATCTTTTGCCCTATGAAATATATCAGGGGGAAGAAAGTCATTTAATAGGGGCTTGTCAAATGGGCACACAAACCTCCAGTTAAATTCCCATCTACTTCCTAATCACACAAATACCTGTCAGTTGTGTGACCTTGGGCAAGGGCAAGTAGCTTTATACCTCTGTGGGTCTCAGATTCCCCATCTGTACCAAGAGGGAGCTGGACTCAGTGACCTCCAAAGTCCTGACCAGCTTGGACCTTCCCTGAATATTTGAGCTACGGAAGGCCCAAGAATCTACTTTCATTGGCCTATTTCAGAGCTCACTTTTTTAGCAACAATACAGAGTTGTTCGGCGGGGAGGTAGTCAAACGGGAACACAAATCTCCAGTTAAAATTTCCTTCACCATCCAAGGACCGGTAATGGACATCTGTTTTCTGTTTGTTTTCTTCACTGCCAGGAATCCAGCTGAAAAGCAGAGGCAAACAGACTTAGCTTGATGTGATTGACAAGTAATCTGGCCGCAAAATTGTGCAGTGATTAGGGGCGAGAAGAGCAAGAGAATTAATGCACTTTTCTTGGGCAGGTTCCAGTTATCGACGGAGCCGGGGGGTGATTTATGAAGGGGAGGCTCTCTATTGCATCCAACACAGGTTGGAGCCAAATAAAATATAATTCCTCTAAAACCAAAGCAGGAAACCCTTTAGACTTCAGTTAATAGGGCTAAGGTGAAGTTTTCTGGAAAATATCAACAATGTAGCTTCTATTTCGGGTATACTGAAGCTTGCTGGCTATGATTTTTTGTCTTCACAACTATGACTCATTAGCGTCTGTCATCACTGCTGATAGGCTCAATGAATATGAGTTAGCTCAAAATGTTAGCATTTCCTTTCCCATATCTTACTTAAGCAATCCAAAAAAAAAAGGGGGGGGGCATGAATCAAGTAATCTTGCAGCTTCCTTTTTTATTATTCTTAAATTCGCCTGATCTTATTAATGAGACTAGCACTGAGGATGTAAGCTGTTATTTCCACAGGCTTATTTTAAGAGCATTCATTTCGGTAACAACATCACATCTTAACTTCTAACATTTTGAAATGTTTCTTTTTGCTTGTGCCTGGCACTCAGTAGACACTAAATAAACATGATTCTAGTCCCCATGGACCTGTTGAATGAATGAATGAATGGGACCAGAAGGAAGTTGTTGTCACATCTGCCTGCTACCGGGAAGAGTCGTGGTTTGGAACCAGGTGGTGACATTTGGTTTTAGACAGGCAAAATGGTGGAATGCATGTGTGGCTCTCTACACTGTGCGTTAGAATTGTATCAGAATCACCATGGAGCTTTTAAAAGGACTGATGCCTGGACCAGGCCTGGTAGAAGGTGGTCTTGGCTGTGACGCTCTCTGAGCCTCCTCTCCCACCTGCGCTCTCTGCCCATGGTCAACATGAGGACAGGAGAAATCATGCCTTGAAGGGGCAGAGTGGGAAGGGGGAAATCCTTAACTCAGGGTTTCTGATCATCACTTATGAACTGGGTACTTAGCAGGTGTTATTTTATTATTCTCAACAACTGTGCAGCCGTCTCCATTTTACAGATGAGGAAACAGCTTCAGAGAGGATTTAACTTTTACAAATTCACATAGCCAGTAATTGATGGAATTAAGTATCACTCCTAGGTCAGTCTGACTCCAAAGTCTGCCTCAAAGGACCATGGGGACTATAATGTCTTGTTCTAATATTAATTCCTAGTATGAGTAGTGGTACAAATATCCATCAACTACAATTATTTTCCTTTTTGCTAGTCAATTCACTGACTAGATAAGTTAGTTGAAAGATTCCTTCTGACTGTTAACTTTTGAACTAACTCAAGAGAGATTACATTCTCTTGGCTATGATCTTGATGGCTTCACCTCCTGACCCATCCCTAAAATGTCACCATCATTCCTTCCTAGTTTGCTCACTCTGGCAGTGCTGCCTTTTTTCTTTTTTTGGTAAATTTTTTCACATTTAATTTTAAGACAAGTTAAGCAAGTATGTACAACTCTAATTGTATGCATTGGTGTGCATGCATTATAGCTTTGCATATAATACCCGAATGTATGTAGTACTAGGCATGGTATTTATGCATGGGTCATTTTTTTCTATATAGTACTTAGAATCCCCTCCCCATCTCTTTTTCTTTCTCTCGAGTGCTAAAGATCAAATCCAAGACCTTGAGCATGCTAGGCAAGTCCTATACCACTGAGCTATACTCCTAGCTTTAGCATTTAGATTTAATTCCAAATTTTACATGGTACTTTAAGTTGAGCTTTACTCTTTGCTTAGAGGAATTTTCCTTCAATCCAGTATTACTTGAATTTGTTTTCTTGATTTGGAAAAAAAAAGTAATGCTTATGATAGTCAAATGAATTTGCATATATATAATTAGCTGGGATTAGTTTTCCTCGGGGAATGGTAATGAGATCTTGAAATGAGAAAGAATAATGAAGAACTTGATGAAACATTCCCTGTTTACACTGAACCTAAATAATAATAATCATGTCTTGAACTAAGTTTTGATTGAAGGTCACTTGGGATCATAAGTGAAACTTTGTTCTCACTTTATGAATACATTACATTTCAAGAAGTCTTATCTTTTACATAGCAAAGAACCAAACTCCGTCCATGTGGAATAATAGCAATAATTGCAGCTAACACCCACGTAGTGCACACCATCTGCCAGATACCATCCTGAATGTTTCGAGTAACTGATTCTTCTGGATAGCCCAAGGAAGCAGGCATTACCATTATCTCCATTCTATGCATAAGGGACAGTGAGTTTATGAGCTTGCCCAGTTAGCAGGGAAAGTGTCTGGATTTCAACCCAGATATTTTGACTCCAAAGTCTGACTTCTTAATCACAATGCTGTATTGCACTCAACATCTCTGATCAAGGCATAACAAGAAAGTAACATCAATATGGACTGTTTGAAATGAATATACAAGCAAGAGAGTGGCAAACAACTGGGCTGGGGACATAGCTCAGTTGGTAGAGTGCTTGCTTTGCATGCACAAGGTCCTGGGTTCAATCCACACACATACACCACACACATACACACACAAAAGGAGGGTAATGAACAACTATGCATTTTATGCACTGGATGCACTCAGGAAATATTAGTGAGAGGAATGATTTTCTTAAAAAATATGCCAACATTTCCTCATTTTCCTGACATTTGGTTGCTGGTAATAAAATATAGAGAAAAACAAATTTTGAAAACTTTACTTATTTTCTGAGGCTAGTTATCCACAGTGTCAAAGAGGACTAAAATGTCTCGGAAATAACAAATTTGCTTAATAAACTGAAGAAAATCTACTTTGAGAAATGATGGAGTGAATATCAGTTTTTAGAGTCATTAGCTATTCCTGCTCATATACAAGGTCTATATAATTTTATCTTTGATTTCTTCCCCTTCTCCCACCTGTGTTTTCCTAGAGTTTTCTAAGCAGAGGGAATTAATAAGATAAAATAGCTTCAGGTAGCCAAGAATCTTAGAGTGGGCCTCTAATGAAGTAGGCATCCAGTGAAGGAGGACACCTGTTTTGTTCCAAGGTTCCTGCATGCTACCTCACCCTTTGACGTAGATGTCACTCATTTCCTCTCCGGTGATGCTCTTCTCATCCAAGATAACATCCTTGGTGTTCCAAATGATCACACGCAGGTAGTATCTGCAAGGAGCACATTTTTCAATTATTTTTCTTCCGGTTCTGGACTAAACCCTAAGTCCAAGGCAGCAGAATCTGGAGATTACTTACTTCTTGGCTTTCCGGGGTGTGATGTTGAAAGGAGGGCCTGGTGGTCCCAAACTTTTGGGGAAAACATCCACCCACATCTGAAGTTTGCCCTAAACCATCCAAAAATGAAAAGAAGACTGAAGTTGTAAGTAAAACAATCATAATCCTCTATCATACAATTTCTTAAGTTAAACTAGTGCTTCAAGTGTGCTGATCTGTTAGTCCAGATGGGCAGCAACAAGAGGAGGACAGCCAGCCAAGATTAATCTTATATCTGCATTATTATTTAGGCCGCCCACTTTCCATTCTCACCATGGGATCTGATGGCTGCACAGGCTCATTTGTATCATAGTTTGAGTTTTTCCTGGTTAGTAAAATGAGGGACTTTCCATCACTTACCCAACACCACACCCACTAAAGCGAGCACGCGCACACACACACACACACACACACACACACACACACACACACACATCCCTCCTCACAACAATTTAAAACTGGGTCCTTCACCCTCTCACAATTCTCCGGCTGTCACTCTATGCATCACCCCAATACTTCTCGATATTTGTCTCAGTTTTGTGATACTCAAGGGATTTTCCACTTACCTCAAGATACAAAATTATAGTAATATAAATGTAAATGAAAAAAAAAACCCCAAAACTTACAATAAGGCTCTTTCAAAGGTGGGACTCAAACAATGACAAGATTGTTACTGTTCCCCAAAGATGGTGGTTCCCATCACCATCAAAGCCCACCACTTGGTAAGAGGCTCATAGGGAGGAAGGGCGAAGGCCTGTTCTGACACTTGTGCTGCCATCTTGGCGAGACCCTGCTCAACTCTCTGGCTGCCGCAGACTGGGCCTATTCATCTGACTGGAACGTTCTTCCAGACAGGCGGGGAATGCCACTTAAAACTATATCAACCATACAAACCAATTTATAGTCTCCAAAGTATTTTGGATGTTCTGTAGACTCTACTTTCAGACAAAAACAGACTGGTCTTCAAGAAGGTTGCCAAGGAAACCACTAGATTGGCTTCCTAATGCATTATGATCAAAATGAATTACCCGGAGCTCTTGAAGGGAGATACATTTTACTATGAGCCTGATTCTCTTCCAACTAAGGTCTAGGGCTCAGGGCTCTACAATACATCAGACATGTTGCAGAACATGAGGCGTCCAGGTGTCCTGTAAGACCTAGCCAGTCCGTGTCTAATGCTGTAGGCAGAAATGACAGTGGGTTGGGGGATTCCAAGGGAGAAATCTTCCTCACTTTGTCATTTCTTTTTTCACCAATTTTTTTAATTGTTGCATTAGAGTTATATATATAATGATGGGATTTGTTGTTATCTATTCATACATGCACACAATATAATTTGGTCAATGTCACTTTCTAGCCTCCCCTCCCCACGCGGTCCTATTTTTACTTATTTTGCTTGACATAATGGTCTGTCGTTCCACCTTCACTTTGTCATTTTCTTGAGACTATGCAAGTGAGGGGGAGGAGGGGAGAGAGAAAGAAGAATAGGTTCTTTGGTGGAAGGAAAAAGAATAAGAAATGGAAAAAAATGAAAATGTGGCACAAAATGAAAGCAAGAGGCAAGTGACAAAATGACCTAGTAAATCCAGCCAATTATGCCCACTCCTCCGTGATGATCTTGTGCCTAGTCCTGCAGTAGGTTTAACAGTATGTGCATCCAGTAGATTGACATTTCTTGAAATGGGATCTCCTAGCCACCTGCATCAGAATCCATCATGGAACTTGTGAAAATTCAGATTCCTGGCCTTAATCCAGACTCACTGGATCCATATATCTGCAGAAATGGCCTAGAAATGTTCATTATGAGACATTTCCACTTAGATTATTTTGGCATTGTTCAGGCCTTGCTTTGCGTCTCTGAAAAGTGCTCCCCATCTTCTGGGAGCTGACTTGCTTCCGTCACTGTGCACATGGTCCCTGTGACCTGCCATCTGGTGTCCTGTGGGACTGCTTCCCTGACTCTTTCTTTTGGGGGGAAGGGGAGCAGGGATTCCCTGACTCTTTAGTCTCAAATGGTAACTTCTCCCCAGGCCTGATGTAGCTCAGTCATTTTCTCAGAACCTGTCCTCCTGGCTACAGCTAAATGGTCCTTTGGTGGACAATTGGGCCAGGTTGGGACAGCTAGTGCCTATACATTTGGAACTACATGGGGCTACAACACAAAAATACTCAGGAACTATCTGTAATATTTAAACACACAGGAAGGTCACCACAGCAAGAAAGGAGATTAAATAGATTCAGAGAAACAGGGACAAGAGGGAGGGTCCAGATCAAGTTTGTTCTGAGTCACAGACAATCTCCATTGACATTTAGTGAGTTCCCTGAAAATTTGTACAATACATTCCCCTTCGGGATGAAATTAATTTGACTGTCATTTCTACTTCTCGTGTATCTACAAGTATTCAATCATGGTACAAGAGGTAAATCTGTGTTAGCTATTGCATTAGGATGCTGAGGCTTCTCCTTCACCTGGGAAATGTTGGGTTGGAAGGTGCTGTGCAAAGTCCTTGTTTCCACGTGCTCTGGGACCAGCCCCTGAGTCCTGAGGATGTGAAGGGCAAGGCGCTCTTCAGGGGCCCCAAGGTGCTGGTGCAGGATTTTGTTGACTTCTGGAATGGAAAATGGTATTGAAACAGAGATAGGTATCTGGGACGGTTAGTAAGAATGACCTGAGCTGCTCACGGCACTTTACCCCAGACTTTGCAACAACGGACAGGCACTGCCAATGTGTCAATTTTGACTTGCAGGAACAGTGGATAAAGAAAGCTCTTCACTAGGGGCTCTGCCTCTCTCAGGCTCACACTCAACTTGCTCACACTCACACACTCGACTCCCAAGGGACAAAGGGACCAAAACACACCCAGGATGGCAAGAGCAGTCTGTATTTACTTTTGCAGCACAGGCTGATAGCCAGGTTCCCAGCCCCCCTTGCAGTTAGATGTGGCCACGCTACCAAATTCAACTAGAATGTAACATGGGTGGAAGTGATGTGTATATCACCTCTGGACCTGGCCCATAAATATCTGTCATGTAGGATCTTCTGTATGCCTTTCTATTTTGGATATGGAGGGGGACAGCCACCTTAGATGCCTTTGCTGAAGAATGGCAGAGCTATAAAATGGAAAGACCTTGAGTCCATGAAATACTGCTTGGGAGAAGGCCATCCACCTGTGGAAATGCTTAATTTGAATTAGTGAGAAATAAACTTCTAATGTGTTAAGCCCCTGAAATTTTGGAGTTCAATTGTTAGTGCTTCTAGCATCACTGTAGCATTCTAAAAACATGGCCCCAAATTCTTGGACAAGTTTCCCAGCCAGAGTTGGGTTCTGTATACTTACCTTTTGAATCTGAAGACATATTGAAACACTAATGTATGGGAAAAAGATGCTGTGTGACTTATAAGGCATAAAAGACCATCAAGCTCCTGCCTGGTTCTTTTGAGACACTCACTTTGGAGGAACCCATCCATCAGGTAAGGAGTCTGAGTACCAGAGACTGCCCAGTTGGAAAGGCCCGTTTAGGTGCTATGGTTGTAAGTTCAGGAGAGCCAGCATCCTCTGCTAGCCATGTGTGTGAGCCATCTTGGCCAGTCCCCACCAGCTGAGCTTTCAGATGAATGCAGCCCCATGAGAGACTCAAAGAAGAATTGCTCAACTGAGCAGTTCTGACCCACACAACTGAGCAAAGCAAAAATGATTGTTTTCAGTTGTTAATTTTTTTCTGGGGTGATTTGGTCTGTAAACAATCCCCATGACTGGTAGAATTTTCTGGGGGGGGGGCGGGGATAGCTATTTGATTATTTGGAGGTAACCTTAACTACCAGACCATGATGTTTCCCATTTTATTCTCAATAGTGTTTGCAGCACCAACATTTCTTAAACATCTAATCATCTTTGCACTTGACTAAGTCCTTTTCAAAATGGAAAGACAAAACCTCGTTTCTTACAGTGTCAAGAATCAAGCTGAGGCACAGGAATTCCTTTTACACCTATGTATCTGTGCTCACCTTTCCCATGTACCCTCAAGGCTGGCCCCACCAGGATCCCATGTGGAAGTCCTTCCCCTTACAAAACATGGAAGCATACCGTAGCTCTTATGCTCTATGGAACTTAATTTCAGTCTTGGTCATGGTGTGGCTAGTTGATTATGTGTCAGGATGGTTTGGTTGTGTTACAAATTATTGCATGACAAAGAGAAAGACCCTAAACTTGGACATGAGCCATATGGAACTTAGCTGGCTCTTGAACCATCTCCCACATCCATGAGGCATCTTAGAGAAGGGATGGAATAAATGATGGAATAAACATAGAAGAGAAATTCTTGGCCTGTCATCTGAGCATTTTTGAATGAATTATGTATTACATAGAAATTAGTTAATTACCAGAACTTGATGTTCAAAGCTCAAATGGCTGTGACCTGAAAAGGGCAAATGAAACATAAGGCAGACAGGAGAATGTCCATGCTGGTGCTTGACAAGACAGCAAAACTCTACTGTAATGTGGCTTTTGTTAGTTAGGGTCACGTGTGCAGGGTCTCATAGAGTACAACTAGGGTTCTGGCTCCATCCATCTCCCTTCCCCAAACCCAGCAACAGAAATAGGTTATTAGAGTTTGCTTACAAACCGCAGCTCTGCACTCACCAAATTCATCCAAACTGTATTCTTTCCCTCCATATCTGATTCTGCTTCCATCTTCAGAAAGGATGGGTTGTGGGAAGCCTTTGAATCTGGCTACATTTTGAAGCAACTGTGTTGGTCTCAATTGATCTCGCCACGTATTTACTCCAGAACTGCAAATAACATCATATGCCCGGAGTTACTGCAGGGCCCCAAGATTTTCTCAACAGGCATGTACTGTACCCATGTGCTTCTAAGCATTAGGCATAATGAGAGCAGGGAATGTGCTATACACTTTGACTTTTGCCTAGAAATCTATTTCGAAGCCTAAAATCCACATGTTATTTTGGCTTCAACCAAATCCATCATTATTTACTCATCATTATTATTTTTTGTTCTCAGTTTCCTCCACTATAGAAATGGGGAGTTTGAGATTATTCATAGAGATTCCAAATTTTCTAGATACTTAGAAAGGCAAAGGGTAGCCATCAGGGGAAGAGAGACATCACAGAACCGATCGAGTTGGGGGAGGGAGGACAGCGAATCCTTGTTTCCACAGGGCAGAGAACTCCTTCCTGCCTTTACACATTGCCAGCCTCAGTCCCTGACAGCCAAGAGGGGGCTCAGAGAGGGGCAGGGGGAACTGGTTCTCTGAGCGCTGCCACTTCTGCTCCCAAAGGGCACTGCTCTTCTCCAGTGGCCACCAACTTACACAGACTACAATGTGAATTGGGAAACGTGGTGGCCTTGATTCTCCCTAAAGTAAGCTTATCATTAGAAATGGCATGTCACTTACTGAAAGGGGCAGTGGCCCAGTGAAGAAAGGCGCAGAGGTGGAGAGGCAAAGCCTCCACAGAAGCTAATGTGGGTGGAGTCACTTACACACAGTACTGCTCCGGGATGCCACAGTGGGACCCGAACCGGGACAGGAAGCGGTTCTCCAGATCAATGATGGTTTCTCCTACTTTTTCATCACGGGTAAAAGTGTCATAATCATAGACAGAAATTTTCAGGTCTTTGTCTTGAGGTAAGTAGCAATTCAGTTCATACATTCTAAGTAAGGAAATGTCAGATTAGAATCGCCACAGTCCATCCAGGCAACTCACCAGAACCAGGGCTCCATGCAAAGAATTCCCAGGCAGCCTCTATGGCTGCTGGAGAACAATAGACCAGGACAACTGGGATGGGTGAGGAGACTTGACAGGTGGTAAGTGACAGTAATAAACAAGAGAACACATGCTCACTCAGGAAGAGAGTATGAGCTGAAGTGCCTATCTCCCAATCCCAGCTCCTGCTTGCTAGCTGTGGGACTCCAGGCCACCTACTTAATCTCTCTGCATTCATTTTTTTCTCCTGTAAAATGGTGAGAATACACACCATCTACATTGTTAGAAGGGTTAAGTGAAAAAATGTTTAGAAAGCATTTGGCAGGATTATAACCTACTTAATAATGATAAAGTATCATAATATCATTAACTTCACTATTATCTCATTCCTATTTACCAGGGCACCTGAGTATCTCTCACAGCAGGGAAAGGAGTATGGCACCAGAACACTGTCTTGCAGCCCTTTATCTGTGTCCCTACTCTGTTCCTTCCTCTGCTTCAACAGAGATCCCTCCCCCATGGAACTCAGTGGATCCACCCTAAGAGCACAGAGGTGGGGGAGGGGTGTGAGTGGAATTCCATCAATACAGTGTGATACACCCCCTGGTTCTGCTTTAAGTTCTGGAATTTCAAGATTTTTTTCTATAAAATGCAGACAATTCTGAGATACAGAAATAACCAGAAGTACTTTTTGTGGCAAGTGAGCAACATGATCCAGAGAATGCTAATTTGCGCACATCTGCTCCAAACGGGCAGGGTTTGGCCTCTGTATTTGCACTGTCCACGGAGTTACTAGGTTCATAGAAGGTGATCGATAAGTTTTGTGAAGGAAAGACTGTGCAAGGCCCCTCTACCCCTGTATTTCCTGTCCCGTGTAGCATGCACGCTGATGTGTGGACTGATTTCTGCCCAAGGAGCTAGGGATATTAATCCATCTTAGCAGAAGGGTGTATGTGAATGTGGCTTTGGAAAAACTTCCAGAATGGTTCCTAGGGAAATCTGAGTGACTTCTCTAGGCTGTGGTAGCTCCCTGAGGCCTGCATGAGGCAGATAACCACAGGAGAAAGGGGAAGGAAGCATCATACCCACTGATGCCCCATAGCGTCACATTTCCAATCCTGGAATCCAAAGAATAGGTCATATGTGTCCTTTGAGAAAATAAAATTGTTTGATCAAATAAGGTTGAGAACCACTTATTTTGGACTATAGGCTCTAAAAAAAATTATTATGTGTTTAACCCAGGTGTCTTGATTTGACTAAGGAATACTTCCCCTACCCCTTGGAACATCCATCAATATCTTACCCAAAACACTGATATTCTGTTGAATGTAATCTGGAGAATGACATGATTTGAGAGGAATATGGGGAACGATGGCCGAGCATGTAGGAAAGGTCACTCCTTCCTGATTTCCTGTCTAGAGTCCTCAAGAGTCTCTGCTAAGAAGAAAGCTACCTCCTAAGTCTAAGGCCATGGACCAGAGCCACCTGAGGGACTGCAAAGCCAGCGTCTCCTTGGCTCCACCCTGCTGGCTGAGGGGAAGTCTGCGCACCGCCAGACAGCCATTGGCCACAGACCCTGACAGCATCACTTCCTCCCAGGGTGACTCTGAGCAAGACTTTTCCTGCCACTTAATTAAGCTTGTGTTTGGCTCCTCTGAGACGAGCCACCAGACAGGGCCGCCTTTCTCTCTTCAAAGCTGGCTTTCCCCACTTCCCCGGCCCTCCTTCCTGCCCTGCGTGCCTTTTCCTGTCTAGACCTTGGGGTTGGATCAGAGGAAGAAAAGGAAAACGATCACATTGCCATGCCAGAGGATTACTTCCACTCCCTGGCTCCAGCACGTGGCCCCAGGGTGTGTGTGTGTATGTGTGTGTGTGTGTGTGTGTGTGTATGCGTGTGCACGCGCGCCCCTGTGCATGCCTGGGGGCTGAGTGTGTGGTCTTGTGTGCACAGTGTATTACTGACTGTGAGAAGAGTGTGTTGAACCTGAGAGACTTTGAGTGGCAGACTCTTGAGTGTGTGAGTGTGTATGTGCATGTGTGTGAGTGTGTGCATGCATATATGCATGGGAGAGAGAAAGAGAGAGAATGCATAAGGGCACAAACCAACAAATATAGGACACAAGACAAAGACTGAGTAGTCTTCCACTCAGCAAGGTTCTGTACAAATAACACTGTCTTCACAAATATTTGAACAAAGAACATTTTTCTACAAGTGATGACTTTGCTACTAATGTAAAGCACTGCCAAGGGTGCTGGAAAGGCCTGGGACTTGGAGTCAGGAATTCCACCTACACCTGGGCTCTGTGATGGACCTCTTTCCTCACCTGTGAATCTGGGCTGCTAAACCCTGCCCTGCCCCATTAATAAGTTTGACCTGTTTAAAAATCAGATGGTGGCAGCAACAGAGTTCTGTGATGAAGCAGCTCTGGTGCTGGGGTGATATGACCTGGGCCTGAATTCTGCCTCTGCCCTTAGCAGCTGGGTAGGGTATGCACGGATCCCCTCTAACCTCAGTTGCCTCTGTTGTGAAATAGGGATAAAAGCAGCACCTCAGAGCTGTGAGACTTTTGAGATGTTTTAGTTGAGTGGCTTTGCATGGGGCCTGCACACTGTATGCTCAGTCAATATCAACTGTTATTAAATGTGGAGCCGTTTGTAGGTGAGAACTGTTGGTCCTACTTAGAGATGACTTCATATCGATCATTTGAGATGGTTCCCATGAAATAAATGCAAAGTTCAGAAACAAGCCCTAGGTTGTAACCACGAAGAAAATAATGCTATTTCAAGAAATGTTGGAAACAGAAGACAAATGGAGCAGGACGTTTTAACCCTATAACTTTTTGCATACCTCCTCGATTTGGATGAAAGAATCAATAATTCAGTCTCTGGATCGAATTGGTGGGACCAAAACAGAGAGCTCAAACTGGATTCCGGAAGAGAGACTAGAATTTCACTATAGCTAAAGCTCTGCACCTGTTCTTCTGATGCAGAATGCACAAGCTTATCCAGCTCCTGGGCCTTCCATGGTCCCTGTCCCTCCACCTCCCAAGGTCTCAAAGCAAATCTCTCCTCAGGGAAGCCAGTCTCCTGACTGACTTTCCTCAAGGCACTTTCCAATTTCATGAAATCTTTTCATTTGTGCATTTACCTATTTATTGACTTCTTCCCCGACTACAATATTGAATTCATCACCACAGTTTTAGGGCCTAGCCCAGGGATAAGCACACATTACATCCTCAGGGCATATTCCATAAAGAAAAAAAATGTTTAAAAATGCACATTACCTGCCAAAAACGGGGTTGAGAGTGTTGGGAATGTAGTGGTCACGGTCTTCAATTACTTTTTTACCCAGTGTTATTTTTATGTAAGGGTCACACTGCGGGGACAAGACAGAAGAGATGTTATGTCATGTACATCGGGTGCAAGTGGAAGTCAATTTCTGGGATAGACTGAGCTTGTTGCCACACCCTCTCCTAACTGATGACAGGGTGGCCTCTGTGGCACCCATGAGCTTGGGAGGAGCCCTGAGCCACGTTCCCCTTTGGGTGGCAGGCAGCCAGCAGGCCTGCAGAGCAGCCACGGGGGGTGGGGGTGGGGTCCTGACTCTGCCCCCGCTGGCCCTGTGACTGGAGCAAATGTGTCCCAGGTCACATCTGTAAACCGAGAAGGATGAACCAGAGGGCCTTAAGCCCCTTCGAGTCTTAGGTAAATCCCCATGGGGACAATCCTCCTGAATACATTGTTTTGATAGAGTATCTTTCCCCTAGTGAGATAACAGACGCCCAGAAAGAAAGAACGTGACAATTATTGTGGCTGATGACTGTAATTATCTTGCTACAGGAGAAGGCCCCACACCCAAACTCTTACCAGGCCATTGTTGTCCTGGGGCTGGAGCTCTAAGCCCCGAACAATGTAAATCCGAACCGTGCATTCCTGAGCCACGCTGTCAGGTAATTCCCGAAACTGCCGGGGAGGGGCTGGCACGCTGGGGTCATCGGACAGCGGGTAGATTCGAAAGGAGCCCTAGGAAAAAAAGACGCAGGCTTGACTCACAGGGCCCTGGACAACCCGGGTAGAGGGCTCCTGAGATGTGCCCTGCTCCTCAGGGCCCTCGGGGGATAGCTTGCCAGGGTGGTGGGATTAGGCGAGGGAGGGGCTGTCTTTTGGAAAGAAAAAAAAAAAACCCACATGGCTCTTTGTGTGTTTCTGGTAGGGAAAGTCAAATGACTATCAAGTCATTGAGGGACAGCAGGGGAAAAGAGAGGGCAGGACTGAGCAGGAAGAGCAAGCAGTAACCTGGGCAGCAGGTGGAGGTGAGGGTGGTGGTGGCAAGAAGAAATGAAAAGCTACACACATAGAGAGGAAGAAACTCAATGAGGAACAAAGGGTGTTTTCCCTTTTCTCCCTTCGCCCCTGTACACCTAGGGACACTCCTAGGGGTCTCCTGTTCAGCCTTCAGGTCTCAGCTAAAAGGATCACTTCTTCCAGGACACCTCCTGGACTGCCCAGGGGTGGGTGTGCCTCTCCTGTGCTCACCTCTAACCTTGTGCTAGGCCTGTCACCGCACTGAACCCATGATGAAATGATCTATCTGTTGTTCACGTCGTCCTCCACGAGACTGGGAGCTACTTAAGGTGGAGACATTAGGTTCTGGCCATCTTGGGTCTAACTTGGGGATATGCATCTAGTAGGGACACAAATGCTTTTTGAGTCAACGCACCAGCAGGCCAGCAGGAGAGGACAGTGGGAGAGGTCATCCCTCTTATCCTGAAACCAGCTCAAGTACAGGGGAAATTACTGAAGCTGGAATTGGAATATGAGGGCCTAAGTTCCATCTCTCTTCATTAAGGCAAATGGCATAAAGGAAGCCCCTACTATGTGCTAGATGTCGAGGACCCAAAACTCAAGGAGTGCAGATGGCATAGGGTTGTTAGCTTTGCCTGATTCTCATGCCCTCTTGACTGCTAGGTGGGAGGCTGTAAGAAGGATTTGAGATCGTGTGTAGGGTATAATCCCCTGATCCATCAGCCATGTCTGCTATTGGCAAAGGATTAGGAAGAGGCAGCATCTCTGCCATGGCTTTGCCAAGTGTGGTTGAGGGAGAGGCAGCCATAAACCCCAACACAATGTGAAAGGTGCTTTCACTGCGAAGGGAACCCAGACCTTTGGGAGCCCAGAGCAGGAGTGAGTCACAGCACCTGAGGCAATCAGGAAACTGTTGACAAAGAGTATGACATTTGAGCTGGTGCTTAGAGCAAGAGTAGGACTTTGTCAGACCACAAAGAGGGAAGGAAGGCATCCAGGGAAGGAAGAAGAGCCTGTCCCAAGGCTCTGAGCTGTGAGACACAAGGTGTGTTTGGGGCTTGGGAGAGGTTCTCTGAGCAGGAGGGTAGGGCCATGAGGGAGGTGTGGAGGGGAGACATGTCACTTATGAAAGGCCAGCTCTGCCTTTGGAAGGAGTTGAGACTTGATCTTGTGGAAACCCAAGTGATGTCTTTAAGCCATCAAGAGGCAGAAGCAGATTTGGTTGCAAGGAGGATGGACTCACAGGAGCAAGGACAGTCAAGTGGGAGATGGTCATAGTGGACCTGCTAAAAGCCTGAAAAGCAGTGGAATGGGGAGGAGGAACCAGGTCTTGGGAAGGTTTGCATCGTTGGGATTCAAGACTGGCTGGCAAGAGCAGGCAGAAAGAAGGGGGCAGTCAGCATGGCTTTGGGCAACCTGGCTCTCCCCAGTGCCATTCCCTCCTTAGCAGTTTCTCTTCCTTCAGAGGTCAGAGAACATGATGCTGCCCAGAGGTTGGGTGTCCTCTATTCTGGGTTCATGAAGAAAATAAAGGTGGGTTGTAAGCCAGAGTGAAAGCATGCTTAATAAACTCACCCACCTTAAACTCTCCTACCACAGAAGGATCTTCATTCTCCTCTGATTTGCCTCGATACAACTTGAAAGTATCTGAGAAATCAGTCAGGCCCTCGAAGTCTGCTACTTCCTCCAGTTCGCAATCATATATCTGAAAACCATCAAGAGATTCTTCATTTCTTATTACAATACAGACAGAACCTAAAACCAAAAGGACCCACAGTACCAAAGGGTCACGTGGATATGGGTAGAGCAACCCGAACTCTCTTGTGGCTGCTTTGGGTGTAGAATGATACAACCCCTTTGGAAAATGTCTGACAGTTTTTGATGGAGTTAAATATTTACCTATGGTAGGATCCCAAAACTACATTCCTAAGTATTAATCGAAAGGAAATGAAAACCTGTCCAAATTATCCACGATGTGGTGTATCTACAGCAAGGATACTACTCGGCAATAAGAAGGACAAACTACTGAGATAACAACATGATCAGTCTCAAAAGTAACACATGGGACTAAAAAAGCCAGACACCCAGGGTTATGGCTCAGTGG